GTCGATAGCGCGTTTGGCGTAAAGTTAGTTCATATAAAAGCTGGTTTAGATACATCCATACTATCACCAGTGCTAATGCGCCAATGTTTAGCAGGTATAATGTTTACCATGTTTGCCGTCTTTGTTCAGCTTGTTAGCATGCAGTTGTTAACTGGCACTAAGGACAAATTCAAACAGCAATCGGAGAGAATGTCATCCGTATTGCAGGCATTTAATCAGAAAGCAAAGTATCAGACAAACTGAAATAGTGGTCGAAGATGAAAAATTAGTCAATCACAATAGTTAGAAGAATTTATCTTCTAGGAACCATACATATTGGTGGCTGTCCACCCAGTGAATTGTTGAGAGATTTCAGTGTGGACAAAAGTGGAACAGTGACAGACCAACAATGCCATCCCCTTGCTAGTGCCTGCCAAACCCATGGCACTAGCAAGGCTGAAAAGAGGTTGATCAATCCCAAATATTCATGACTTGTCCAGTCAGATAGCAGTGATTTACATGTCAGTATCTATAATGTATAATGTCAGTGGTTGAAGGGGCATCTTCTTTCATTTATTCATTGCTTCATAGAAAACAGACAGTTTAAAGATTGCAAAGCCAAGTTGGTATATGTAACCCTCAGGGCTTTCAGATCCCACTGAACCCTTTAGCCTTCAAGCAGGATGCATGGAGCCAGAAGAAGGAGTGGACTTGTTGCCATTCTGCTGCTGTGATGACTCTGGGGGGTTCTGTAAGACACAGAGAGAAGAAGACTGCAGGAGACCTGAAGGTGTCAAAAGACATTATTATAGCATGTGTAAAAACACAGCAACAGGAGAAGACCTCACAGAGAGAAAGAGAAAACACATACCAAGAAGTTTTAAAAAGAGGGGGACAGCATGAACAAAGATACAATGTTAATTGTTTTTGAAAACTAGACCTGGGAATCAGCTCTGATCCTCTCAGAGATGGGGCTCTGTTGGACTCTTCTGACTGTTTCCAAACTTTTTCTACAGAGGTCTAAACAAGTGAAGAGCGCAAAGTAAGACACCAAGGCCCTGTGAGTCCCTCTGGATGGCAGTAATGGAAAACAGAAGTAATCACCTCTGTTGATTGTTACCTCAATACAGCTGTCTGTATCAGGGGCAAAAACATAGCATTAAATTTGTTAAATGTATACATTTGTTAATTGGTTTGAATCATTTTCTGAAAGGGTTTAATTTGTTCACACCTCTGTCATGTACAGTACCTCATATATTTTCCTTATTGTGGCTGCTTGCATAAAAAACAGATGACCTCATCTGTTCTGAGTTTGAAATCAAGGCTATTCATTAGTGTGTTGCTTTAACCTCCACTCCAAGTGCTCCATATTTCTGCAATTTAATAGATGTCTGAATGGCTTTGAAACTCTCTCAAATGTCAGTATATGTTGCCATTATGCCCCCTCATCCCCACCCCTTGGCCTGGATCTGAAAACTGCGTTCACAGATAAGCTAAGCAAGGGTGATAATAAACCACTGTAAAAATTCTGGGGGCACTTCCTGGGGACTTGTAATCAGGTGTGTTGCATGTAGTCCACTCAACATGCACTCAGTGCTCTGTATCACACTACATATTCAGCCTCATGTCACCATCGGCTGGTATTGGTGCTGCTGGTTAAGTCACCTACAAATCATCATTCACACCTATCTGCATCCCAGAAACACCTCCTCACCCCAAGCCCAATTCCTCCACAACAGCAGGGTGTAAATCAGCTGCCTGTGCAGTGGATACATGAGAAGCAACAGAGGTGGATGTCAGAGAAAGGCTGTCTAATCTCTGGAACAGACCCCACACTGTGAACCCTCCATCTGATGGAGCTAGGGATAAATAGCTACTTGAAGCCGTATCCACGAGTCTGGATCACAATCATCACATCAGGGACCTTGGTGTTGGACAGAGTGAAGTTGGCACATTTACTACTGCATTTTCCCAGAGATCTGTGACTCTGAACATCATTAGCACCCACACACTATAGTTATTAAAAGCACTGAAAACATTCTTCACTGCCCCACCTTTTCCCCTTGTTTGGTCCACTCAGGGACTCAGATGCCATCACTCAGGGTCATGGTGTAGCAGCTTGTGTTCTGGTTTTTAGAGAACATGGCATGCAACACATCAAATCAGCTTCGTTTGGACATAATTTGGCACTTATTTGAAATTAAAAACAAGGCATAAGAGATGGAGAAACTGACTGTGGTGCTTGATGCCAGACATACAATGGGGCAAATAAGTATTTGATACACTGCCGATTTTTCAAGTTTTCCCACTTACAAAGAATGGACAGTTCTGTAATTTTCATTGTAGGTACACCTCAACTGTGAGAGACAGAATCTACAAAAAATTCCAGTAAATCACATTGTTAGATTTTTAAATAATTTATTTCCATTTCATTGCATGAAATAAGTATTTGATCACCTACCAACCAGCAAGAATTCTGGCTCTCACAGACCTGTTAGTTTGTCTTTAAGAAGCCCTCCTATCCTCCACTCATTGCCTGTATTAATTGCACCCATTTGAACTCGTTACCTGTATAAAAGACACCTGTCCAAACACTCAATCTATCAGACTCCAACTTCTCCACTATGGGCAAGACCAAAGAGCTGTCTAAGGACACTAGGGACAAAATTGT